TAATTTAGAGTGCGTAGCTTGCAAGCCTAGAGGTTGCAGAAGAACTGTGACCAAGCCCAGGATCCCACGCTCACTCTTTGTGAGGTAAAGGAAGCTCCCTCCAGGCAGCTGTCGTGACAAGCATCATCTTAGCCAGTATGGTCACCATGTCTATTCCTATGAGTACTGATGCCCCGACACCTAGCTGAGTACTGCAGAAGCTACCACAGAAGGAAAGGCTGCTACATGCTCACTGGTCGATTACGCTATTGGCTCTCAACAAAAAACCTGTGAACAAGCTTTGGTTCCGTTTAAACTGATTCCATCACGGCCATTCCGCCACTTACTCACCATATACCTGCAAACCATTCCTGTTCCTAGATTTCCTGTCGTGGTTGTCATGATTACCCTGACCCCGAATCCATCACCTAATGGATTCCCTTCTCTACAGCGACCCATCACCAGCCCTTTTGCACCTCAGTATCGCAGGCAGCTCCCATGAGTTCACCTCCTGCGAAAGCACTCTACGGATTTTTTTGAAAACCGGGGTCTGCCGACGATGTCTGGGACTGTCAGGAAATGACAGAGGGTCCTTTGAAGGACTACACGGGAATAGCTTCCAAGAAGTCCAGCAGCCAGACCAGTTGGGTAACTTCCATAGTGATTTCTCTCTTGTGGACCTGGTTCTATGATTTCTTCTAGCGGGCCTCATAAGGACTCTTCGAAATTTGAAATCTCCTGCTCTTGTCGTGAATATGAGTTGCTTGTCTGGCATGCCCCTTGTTGCTGTGAAGCTGTCCTTGTACAATGGATGATGGTCGCCCATGAGGTAACACCTGCCGCCGAAGTTAGCGATCACCTTCGCCACTGCCTGGAATTGCATTTCTGCCTTTGCCCCTTCAACTGCGTCATGACAACATGTGCAGCCTCGCCATTTGAACCAATTTCGGCTGGAATGAAGAGGACCAGCACCTTGCATGCCATGACACGATGCTCATTCGCCGCTGCGACAGAACCTCTCTAGGTGGACGACATCTCGGGCGTTGTGCTTGAAGACCGCGGACTTGCCATACACCACTCCTCCTGATCACGTGTCCAAAGTGTTGCACCCGAGTTCGCAACTTCCGCATCATGTCCTTCCGCCAAAGTTTCTGCGGGCCAGACTGGGGTCTTGTCTCCAACCTGAGTTTTCTCGGTCAGTATCGAGCTTAGCAGCAACTCGGCAGCCTGGATTGAGGTCTCGACTAGTTGATGGAACCAGTCCCAGTCCTTCTGCAGGCGCTCATCTACGACCTGGCAAAAGCCAAGATGAACAACGAACAGAGGCAGAGGCACTTGGCTCTGCAGGCCTGGCCTTTGGATTTTTCTCGATCACGTGGTCGCGCTTCTTGTCGTCATTCTCTGGATGCGGCAACAACACCATGGCGGAGACTGGCACGGAAAGCAAAAGCACAGGAAGCATAACATTGCGAACTCCCTTTGTAAGTCTCATCATGCACGAGAAGGCACTTCTGCCTCGAACACGGCCTGCTGGAGGGGGCGGCGTGGCCTTGGACTTTGCCTCAGTGCGAACCTTGGTTGGCAGTGTGCACTCGAAATCCTCCGTGATCCTCCGTGAAGAAAGAAAGAATCGTGAACTCCTCCAGGCTCTTGCCTTGGCCTCCGGAAGCGGTGGCCCTGCAGCCTTGCTGCGGGCGCCTTCGAATCCTGCAAGGACCCCACTCTCATGTTCTCAAGAGATTCTAGGAACTAACATGGGATTGCATTGGTGAACAAGGGCTGCAGGTAGAAGTCTGGGGCCATCGTGTTTGCTGTAGGCTGCAGCCGCATATTTACAATGAGGGCTGTCTGCTGTAGGTTACAAAACTTCTCTGTGTTGTCATCGGACGTCCACTCAAGTCCTGGGAATGCTTTGGATCCCCAAAGTTGGCTCCGCTAGCTCTCAGAGCATCTGGAGAGAGGGCTGTATCTGAGACAAGAATGGTCCTCCCTGCGGTGTTGGCGCTGCGCTTTCCTGGAGGGTGGATGGGATCTGCTGTCTCAACTCTGGGAAGCTATGTGGGACTGCATTGCAAGATACGCACGCCTTGCGCCAGGAAAGAACCACTCATGAACATTGGAAATGACAATGTGGTCTTTTCATGGCCTTACATCTACGCTGCCCAGTATAAGGAGCCTTGTTTGAAGTCTGCTGTGGTCCTCCCGAGGCGCTGGGGGCGGTGTCGGCGCAACAGGCATGAAGGGAGCAAAGGGCCTTCAGAAACGACAAACGGCTTCAGCAGAGAATAACAGAAGTTGGAATGCTTGAGGCCCATGCATCATGGGAGGCGTCATCTGGCCCGCCATCATCTGCCCCATGATCTGTGCTGGAGACATCTGGCCCATCATCTGCATCTGCGCAGGTGTTATCTGGGCAAATGTTTGCATCTGCTGGGGTGTCATCTGGCCCAGCAGTGCTGGCGTCATCAAGTTGCCCCCTCAGCGCGTGTTCAGGGAAAGCCATGGCTTGAGTTGTCAACAGCTCTTAGATGTGAGCAAAGTCTTGAACGTCTGGGCCGTTGGCATGCTCTGCCAAACAAGCCAGGATCAAAGCCTTGGCCAAGCGTACGCAGCAGCAATCGGGAAGTGGTCATAACTTGAGTCTAAACATACATGCTTCCAACGCAAGCACTTCTGCTGAAATTTGGCCTGCTTTTGTCAAAACAAGGCTTCTCCGTATGTGAATTCCTCTGTGCAAAAGTGGTATCGCAACAAGACAATGAGTCTTAACTTTTAGTCCTCGAGATTCTCATGTTCAAGCATGGAGGGCCTGCAATCGGCTGAGCCCTCGGGAAGACATTCATGGCTGCGTTCTCGGAGTACAAAGGTCTACGGAGAACTTAGAGGTTGTGTTTCTTAAAGCATGACTTCCCTTTGGGGAAAACGAGGACAAAAAAGTAATGTTGAGGTTTGTCTTGAGGGGTTTCGCAAGGGTTGCTTTGAGAAAACCCCCACATCAGTCTCAAGATGGAGCCTTGCATGCATTCATTCTTTCTGGCTGGCGCTTGAACCGCTGTGCTGCACCATGAAGAGCAGTCTTGTCGGAAGCAGGCTTGCGTGCTTCATCCTGAAGTTCTTTTTGGACAGCTTGAACGCAGCGGTGCTTGTAGACTCCATCTGCCTCGGTGTGCCAAGGCCACTTGATTTCAGACACAATCATGTGCAAGTCTAGTTCTGCGTGCAGAGCCTATTCATATGGTGGCCAAGCCAAGGATAATCTCGTGAAAGCACAGCTGAGAACACAAAGCACAGGTTTATGACACCGATAACACTTCGGTGCTTAGACGAAGACGCTGGTGGACTCGGATCGCAATTCAAAATCGAGGAAGATTCCTCGCCTTAGGCGCGCGCCCTAGGAGGCCTGTGACCCTGTTGGTCCTTCAAAAACCAGCCGAAGGTTTCGGCAGTTTCAGGCAGAGCCCAAGACTCCGCAATGGTCTTACTTTCTGCGGGTGGACCTATACTTTCAAGTAAGATTGTAAGATAGCTGTCAGAGACTTGTGATCTGATCATCCGGCTCAGTCAAGTACCGGGTAATTCTGAATCAGTGCAAACATAAAGGCTGCCGTCATGGCCAAGCCGGGAAGGACAAACTCCCGTCCGTACTCGTCCGTCACTGTCTTGGAATTGGACTTCTCAGGTGACAATCCTGAGGAAGGCGAAGGCCCTCGCAGCTTCGACATCTTCACTGCTTTCACTTTGCCCTCTTTGCCCTCCTTGGACCTCTTCGCGAGGAGCTGCTCAATCTTCTTCTCCCGCTCCATGCGAACCTTGAAGTCTGGGTCAGCGCCAAAGGCCTCCTTCACGAAGCCTATTACGCCCAGGCCGTTGTTGACAACGCCGTCGGCAAAGGACTTGGGTGTGAAGAAAGCGGCCTTCTCCTGTGTCTTGAAGGCATCGGAAACTGGCCGAACGCGGACATCGAAGCTGTTCCCTGGCTCTTGCGGGGGAATCTTGGTTTGGCAGGCAGAAACCCACTTGCCGTCAATATTCACGGCACAGGTCTTGCACTCACCCTTCTTGCACTTGTAACGGATGAAGACGTCGGCCTGAGCAGCTACTTCGCTCAAAGGCTGGCCAACACGTGCCATGGTCTTCACGTTCTGAGGTTGGAAGACCACGGGAGTGTCGCCCAGATTCTCATGGCCTGGGATCATCCTGGGTGGTTCTGAAGGAGTCTCAAGGGCCTCCAAGGCTTCAAGCTCAGGCATGATGGCTTCAGCTTTTGAAGCCGCCGCCTCGGTCTCTGTCTCCAGCTCTTGGAGCTCTCGGTTCACTTCGGTCACCACGCTCTCTGGCACTTTGCCAGCAGTGCGCAGCAGATCCTTCTCCAGCTCCTCGGGATCTGTGGGGGTCTTGTCAAGAGCCAAGAGCATCTTCTCGAGGTGCGCACGCCGCACATCTTTGGGCAGCGTCTTGTTCGCGACAATCTTGGCACCCTCGCCCTCCCGGGAGGCCTTCACGCTCTTTGAACTGCAAACATCAAGAACACTGCCCTGGCTACTTTACAGAAGAAGATCTTTGAACCTCTCTTAACAGCTGTATCTACTTCCGCAGTGTTCCCTGGCCTTCATGCGTGCCCGCTCCTCCATGATGCCCAGGAGAGATGTAGCTGCTCCCACTACCTGATGCAAGGATCTAATCTAGAAACTAGGGATCACCATACTGGGGTCGTCAGGTTCAAATGGATTCAGAGTTGATGTCCCGGCATCACCGGCTGTAACAGAATAGCCTTACAAGAAAAATGCTTCTGCGAAGCTTTCCCGGACCCGCTGCCGCGCATGTTTGTGATGGCTAGCTCCTTCAGCCTCAAAACCCTTCCCTGCATACTTGAACCCAAAGCATCCGCACCTGCACACCAATGATCACCAAAGCCTCAAGCCTAAAATCTGTAAGCATAGACTCTGCGCATGCCAAGGGCAAGCTCTCAGGCTGGGAGGGCTCCCCACATGTTCAGGCCCAAATCAGGTGGGTTTGAAGAAGCCCTTTGGGCTCACTATCCTAACTATACTAGACACATACCTACTGCGAGCTCTTGCCCACAGATTGTGATCTTTTTATGCGCTACTCGCACGGAACCTTCGCAAAACTTTCACGCAAACTTGTGTTGCCGGTCCGGCCAGATTAGCGCCATGTTTTCTAGGCTTAGAGCCCGAAGAATATCTAACGCGGATAAGCTTCCAGGATTCTAACAGAGTCCAAGAGAGAAAGACATTACTGAAACAAAACAGGTCCAAGAAGTAAGAAACCTGCCTCTGATGGCTGAGAGTCCAGGCCTAGAGGCCTAGACATGCAAGTTGGATTACATAGAAACTTTCAGGAGACATGAATTTCCTGTCACTGTGCCGTTGCCAATCTTTTCCGAAGAGATTTTATTGCATGCTGGTGGTTCATCCATATAAACTTTCCTACAAAGACCTTCACTTAAGATCAACGCTCAGCTGTCAAAGGGCCTGCCTTTGCACAGGGAACGAAGGATTGAGGTTTAGGAGAAAGCTGCTACCTCACGGATTTTCGGATTTGCTGGTTTTATCCCAAAACTCAAAGGCCCAGGCCTTCAAAGTGGGGCATGGTGACTTGGCCTGGTAAGCCAGAGGCCATTCGGCGCCAGTGATCTCGTTGGTGGTCTGCCAAAGCTTCCTGGAGTTTGCTGGGTCTAGTGGCACCAACGCGTAGAACCAGTAGAAAGAACCATAGTTTACAAAGGGATATCAGGGGCAAGCCCTGGGAACCTTGCAGCAGGCAAGATCATATTAGTCAAGCAAAGCCACGAAGAATCGTGTCCCTCTTCACCATTGAACCCAAGGAAAATCTTGCTTATTGCGTCGCCGCTGACGAAGCACTGTGCTGACGTACAGAATTTTTAAAAAGCAAAAGGAAGACAAACAATACTATGGGACGGGGCTTCTGCATGAGATCCTTGTTCAGGACCTTGTCAGACTGATCCTGGGTTGCAAGAAGCGCAAATCACTGTCTTTGCAGCAGCTGCATCTACAGAACGCTCACTGATCTCTCACTCAAGGACTACCCTCCTTCCCCAGCAGCGGAATTCTCCACCGCGCCCCGAAGGCACCTCAAACCTAGCTTAAATCCCTTGTGGCAATGACCATTTAGATGCTCAGTATACCTCACCAGAAAACTCATTGTAGAGTAATCCTTCACGTGTTTGGTATTTCCAGCCTTGCCTTTACAAACCAGTTTGACCACAAAAAGTTTCAGAATCTTGCTGTGTCATTGAGATGGGTTGCGTTCTCGTAGATGGACTCCCAGCCTCCCCCGGCGCCACCAGCGCCAACGATCTGACCACCCTTTTCCTGCAAAGCAAAAGCAAAAGCAATTCAGCGTGGTAGGGGCTCAGGGGCTCAGGATGTTTGCCTAGGCTTGGAGCCCTGCGAACAGCTTTGCGTAGCAAACTGCGTAGCGCTTTGCTCAAAAAAGAAGCTCTGCTGAAGCAGGCAGGTCTCCAAAGCATCGCCACGGCCTTCGCGGGGCCCTCCGTTCCAGGACCAGTACACGCCCGACTTGGTGCACTTCGGATCATGGACCACCTGGCTTTTCCGAAACCCTCAACCCTAAACACAGAACCCTAAGAAAAATCGTATGGGCTACGTCTGGCCCGCCTGGAAGAGGCGAGTGCCGGCCTCCTCCTCACCCACAAAGCCTCCGGTGATGTACTTCATGAAGATGGGGAAGTACTTCCGGAACCAAGGCCGCTTCTCCCTGAAAAGGGGGGTCTCTGCAATGCAGCCAGGGTAGATGGAGCTGAAGGCAATGCCTGTGGAGCGGTGGAAGCGCTCATGAAGCATGTTGGAAGTCATCATCAGCGCCAGCTTCGTGTCCTTGTACCTTACAGCATCTTCCCTACACTTCTACCACTATCCTTGGCCTCAAAATACGATGACAGTTGCTTTTGCAAGATTGCTCTTGTGCTTGCATATCTGCTCCGAATTATTGCAGCTTTTCAATTCCGCATGCGATCCAGGAGCATCTTGGCACCATTGAAGTTGTAGCCGTCCATCATTGCAATCGGCTTCTTGCATCCCAGCTCAAGGCCATCCAACTCCTTCAAGCAACGAACAGTCATTCGCTGCCAGATTTTACGACTACGATTCAATTGAAAGCCTCACCAGAGGAAAGACTTCGACCTGGGAGCTACACACCGCCACAGCGTTCTGGGCTTCTCTGGGTTTGTAACATGATCTTCCTGATTTTACGGTACTAGGTCGGGCCTGAGACAACAATCTCACATTACCAAGAATGCAGAAAACTTCACCGCTTGAATGCGACTACAACTCGGGGTTTCCGTCCCCCCGGCCTTCAGATCAGCGATGGGGTAGACCCCTCCTCCTCCGACTGTGTTGTCATTGCCAGTGACGGATCCTATCATGACCACACGGGCATCGCTCGAGTCCGTCATCATGGGCATGACCTGATTCAGAAACAGACTCTCTCGCTCTCTCGATTGCTGTTCATTTTTCACTCTTCAACCCGCGACCTTTGATGTGAGCAGGAAATGAGCGAGGTAGTTGATCTGAAGCTGCTGCTCGTGGCCGTCCACGGTCCATTTTGGGTAGGCAAGCGTCGGCTGGTACACAGCTGCATTGCAAACAAGCCGATCGATAGGCCGGTCTCCTCGGAATTTGTCCAACTCCTTGCTGAACTTCTTCACGGACTCGAAGCTAGCAAGGTCCAGGTGCATGGGGGTGAAGCGCTCCAGGTCAAAGCCCTCCAACTCGGCCACAACATCCATCTTCTCCAGGTCCCGTACTGCGCCGATGACATGGTAGTCCTTTGCCCTCAGCAAGGCCTTTGTCACAGCTTTTCCAAGCCCGGAAGAAGTCCCGGTGACGACTACCAGCTTTTTGTCTCCGAACTTGGAGCCTTTCTGCATCTTGGTCAGGGACGGAGCCTTGATCTTGGCCATCCATTTCCAGCCCTGCGCCACCTGAAGGAAAAGAAGCAGTGCGAAACGGAGCACCAGCATTGCAATTGAAAGTGCGAAATTGAAACGTAAGCTAAGTCGAAACAGGGCGGAACGATTGGCCGGGCTTAGCAGTACTGCACTGGGCCTAAATGGCTGCATAAACAGCCTGCTGCATGCGATGCCACATGTAAAGAGCGCCAACGCTTAAGAGACTCTGAGGCACAAACACTTGGCCAGTGGCCAAGCCCAGCTTGCAACAGCTCATGGCCCGTTATGAGCTGTCTTCAAAGCGTGCAATTATCAACTCGGTTAATGTAGGGCAACCTATCATGCAGCAAGGAGTTCTTTGGATGAGAAATTCACTGCTTTTTCTTGGATGCGTTCTCGGGATCTTAGGTCTCGCTGGCATGCCTGGACAGAAGTTGGAGCAAGCTCTCAGTAGGCTCTCTTTTGCAGCATCAATGACCTACAACTGCCAGCGCAAAGAATTGGACCCACATTCTGAGTGATTCTGAACACTGCACCGCTCTACCTCCTGACACATGCTACAGGATGCTACAGGTGAAAGCCTGGGCCCAAAGTGCTTCAAATCTTCTATGCGGAGGGTTCTTCAAAGGGCATCGCGCTTCTTGCATGCTACCATGTGCCTGAGGATACGGAACGAACAAACTGCTGAAAACAGTAAAGTGTGTAAAGTGCACAGTCTCTCCCTTTGCAGTATGCGATCACAAACAAATTGTCAGCTTTTGCCCAGCAGATTCTCAAGCTTTGCGGCTGCGGGTGCCACCACCTGCGGCATCAGCCTCGGCACCTTCATCCTCTTGCCTTCCAGCCCTTGGCAAAGCGCAGCACCCCGAATGCCTTATGAATGTGTCGTTGAAGGATCTGAGCACCTTGCTCAGGAGATATGGGAGCCGCTTCTGCTGCAGCCTGTCAAGAACTTGAAGCTGAACAAAATCAAGGCTCGATGAATCCTGGCCTGGGCAGCTTCTGGGCGATCATCGTCTCTCCATGCCTGGCAGCTAGCATCCCTTGAAGTTTCCTTTGTCCTACGCTCTCTTGACAACAAGCATCATGTTTTAAGATACCTTGCTAGCAGGCTTCAAAGTATTGCGAACTTGAGGCATCGGGATCTTGTCGAAGCGTCCAGCAAAACGGAGCCTGTTCGGAGCTGCTTGCCGAGAGCTGCTCCTGCTTCGCGTAAAACGGTCAAGACAAAATGCTCAGAAACTCGAAAAAATAGGAAGTTGAGAACTCCCACCTCTGGAACTGAAGCTTCTTGTGCGGGTTCGAAGTCCTGGAGTGACAGTTGTTGGGCATGTTTGCTCGTTTTACTGTTGGGCCGTAGGCGTGTTTTCTGTTTGCACATTTCTTGGTACCCTGCTGGATGTGTAACCTCCCGAAAAATGGAATCACACGAAGGTTCTGCTCCAATTGGCAAGACACCGTGTGTGTGGAGTGCAATTTCCATTCAAGTCCTCCTCACTGGATCTTGGCTCACTGCGAGATCTTCGGCTGAGCACCTTGGCCACCTGCATCAGGATTCTTGGTGGGGGTAGATCTTCTCCCTCACTTTATCCTACCTTCAAACCTGGAACCCTGAGTAACTCAGTAGCTCATGTCCATGTCTTCCAGTTGAAGTGTGTTCTGCCTCCTCCCTGAAGTCACCCCGTGGCTTGTTGAGCAGGACTTTCCTTGGAGCGCGGAGGGTCTGGGTCAGGATGCCAAAGAAGTTCAGAGCTCTTAGGGCCCCTGACGCTTGGCGCCACACCACCAAAAAACCCAAGAAGGCACTGCAAAGCAAGCACCTCTCTTGTTTCCATCTGCATGCCATCGTTACGTAAATGCAGCTGTGAGCATTCTCAGTGCAGCTGTGCAGCAAAGCCAGCGTCGAAGGAGATATGCGGTGCCTGGATATTTGCAGTTCTCTTAGCGGCTGTCTCCCTCTGCACCTTGACTGAAGCTGAGTGTCCAACTGCACTTGCTTTGCATGTTTTGCATGCTTTGTGTGCTTGTGCTTTGAATGACCAGCTGGCTGTGGCACTGCACTGGCAATTGACGAGGCTTGGAGGGGGACTGGAGCGGGCTGGAAACCCGTCTGCGAAAAAGTGAGCAGGTCCATGCCCGGAGGGGGCGTCAACGTGTTGGCAGCGACGAGCGGAGGCGCTGGCGCGGGGGCGCTCAGCTCGTCGTCGGCATCAGAAGGGCTCGAGGCCACCGCAGGAGTTGCTGCAATCACGTCTGAATGGGAGGCCTGAGCTCGTCAAAGTTCAAAAAGAATCACAACCCCACCTTCCAAGCTCCCGGCCTTTGCCTTTGCAGCCTGCAAAGCGACAAAGCGACATCAACTCTCTCTTCATTTCTCTCTCCTCGCATACTCCGCACCCCTTTGGCCTGATTGGCCTGACGGCCAGCATGCCTGCAGGCTCAAAGCTTTTCAGATTTGCAGATCGCTGCATTGGGGCCGTTGGTGCCTGTGACTGATCTCCCCTGCAGAGCTGATGGTGACCGCCTAAGGTGCCGGGATCATTGGGCTACCGCAGCCGTTGTCTTCGGCCAGGCCTCATAGCCATGGCGCCGCACCATCGAGCCATCTTAGGCTGTGACATGTACCGATAATCTTAACTGGTCGGCGTGAGCGTAGTATTACCTTTTCTCAAAGGCCAAGACCGCTTTCGATCGGCAAGGAGTCCTCAACCTCATTGAATCCAACTAGGTCTTTGTCCAGGAGCTGGGGGGAAGCGTTGTGCAGGTAAAAATTGTCAGAGCACCAGAGCACTTCTCTGAAAACCCCCCAGACTCTGCCAGACTCCAGACCTTGGTGGACATGCACTGGGGCTCCGTCGTGGCCAGCTGTCACAGCCAGAAATAACCAGCCGAGGCTCCTAGGATTCTGAAAGATGTGCTTGTCAAAGCCTCCCCAATTCCCAACCCCAGCCTTGACATCGAAGATTCATGGACACCCGCGCCATTACAACATGGAAGGCCTACAAGTTCCTTGAGAAGGCACGGCAAGGCCAAACCAATCCACTTCTGGCTGCTTCAGCAAAGCTAAACTCAGCATTCGCTGTTCATGCCTTGACAGGCGCTGCAATGGAAGGAGCCTTTCTTTGCATCACCAGCCTCCCGTAAAAGTGGGCTGAGTCCAAGAGCCCTCACCGAATCCAGGGGTCGGATAGCCTCATGTTGCAGGAGCTCAGGGTCATAAACAAAATCCTCCTCAAACGGGAATCTCCCCTTAAAGTCCTTCTTCTCGCTCACATGATGCTGGCACGGAATTGTCGCGGAACTGTGCCGTCCGCTATTATTCTGCGCAGAAGTGAGCTCTGTACGATGACAGTGAAACGTGGAGACAGGCAAGGGCTAGCGCGACCAGCTCGCAAAAAAACTAGGACAGAGTCTAAGCCCAGCAAAACCGCGCTTTGCACAGGAAAGCAAGCTGGTCTGTGACAAGCGGCTTACGCCCACGTCTCCTGCAAGCTGGGACTGGTAAATGAAGACTGCATCTGAATGGCCTATGCCTCCGACAGTCAAGCCACTCCCAGATTGCACAAGTGTAGTGCTCGGATGAGCCCTCTGACACAGCGCAGCCCATGCTAAGAAATCGCTGCGGGAAAACACACACTTGCGCAGGTGATACTTTTTTTTGATAGCCTGAAACTTCAGGCGGTAGAGCCGAGGTGTTGTGGGCATCCACCCGGCAGATCTGCTACTCGTACTGGTGCCTCCACAGAATGTGACAAAGAGCGTTTGCTCGTGATTGCTCGTGCTGTACCAGGCCTGCAGAAGGGCGCTGAATGGCTTGACCATACCAGCCATACCGCTCTTCAACTGCAAGTGCCGCCAGGATAACAAGGGAGTTCACCAAAGACCAAAGACCGAAGGCAAACATAGGAGGCACAAGGAACAAAAGGAGACGCAGAACTGAAGACTCCCCTTTTCCCCTTGTGGCCTCCGCTGTCACGGACTGGGCCTGGCCAGGAGCGAATCTGCTCGTTGAAACGTGCTGCGGGAAGATGCTTTTGGAATGCTTTCCACCAGAGACTTCTGCGTGTTTTCTTCTGCATGTCTCAGGGCCTGGGTGGCCAAGTGCCCCGCAGAACCTCGATGCCGAGTTTTCTGAAAGCATGTTCTAGGAATCGCACCATGCAACCCGAAAGCGCTTGGGTGCAGGCCATCTAGAAGCCTCCTCCTTGCCTGGGCTTAAAGGAATGACTTCCATGAACATTAAGAAGTTGATCTCCCTGTGACATTTGGGTTTCTGAAAGGGCACCTGGCCTTGGCGTACTCGCGATTCCAGCTGCAAGGGCTGCTTTCCGCCCAACGCACCTCGTCTTACAGTCGTACAAGCAGAGGAAAAGATCTCCAGTCATTTTGGGGGCCCAGACCCAGAAAGCATGAGAATCTTGCCGGCGCCTTTCCACCTCAAAACAGAAGAAAATCGTAGTCAAACACCATTTCGAAAGAGTTTTTGCGAAAGCGTTCTTCGAATTCTTAAGCCTTGCCTCTGCCAAGAAGTCCTCCACCACGGCACCCTGACAAGGCTGAGGCAACACAAGGCGAACAAATCAACTGCATTTCTCGACTGGAGTCTCTTCTTCTTTGAAGTGCACTTCTGATTGGCAATCAATTTCATGATGTTTCCCTATGGAAGCCTTGTTCATAGTGGTGATTTCGCATCTCAGCCCCACTTTGGCTAAAAATGCTTAGCTCGACTAGCGACTAGCTAAAAGCCTCTTTGATGGGCTCAGCAAGGAATCCCGGAATTTGCAGAAGGCCTTCGCCTGAGAACTTCCCAGGTAGGAGGAGCAGAAGAGTCTCCTTTGCGCTACAGTCGGGTACAACCTGGGCGCAGCATGGCGCAGCTTCTGGGAGCGACAAAACGAAACCTTGAGCATGCTCCTTTTGCAAGCATGCCGCCCGAGTTGGTAGAGTTGTGGATTCGGACCAATGTAAGGATACATCCATTCCTTAGTTTTCATGCGAGTGCTGAGAGATCTGAAGCTGGCATGCACAACACTTTCGAGGCTCATCCTGCCGACCAGGCAGACATGGGTAGCAAAACCAAGTGAGTACTGTTCTTACTTGTCTTACACTGGAGCTTTCAAGCTTACACAATCACATTAGTCACAGTGTTGCTTTTGAAGAGTGACTGCTTCTTCCCCTGGGGCACCGGCATTGAAATGATTGGCGATATCGTAAGCTGGGTCCAAGGAGTTTGAATACTCAAAGTCCAGCAGGTGGAGGTCTCCTTGGGATCAGATCTTCCTGTTGCACGACTTCAAGGCTACAGGAATTGCCAGTGAGTGTTCTTGCTGTTGCTGCAGCTCACAGTTGCTCAGGCTCCTGCCCTGGTCGGTCAGCAGCATATTGTTGTGATGTAAGTCATTGTGGTTCAAGCCGGTCCTGGATGCTCGGCAACAGCGGTCAAAGCCGGGCAGTTCGAAGTCTAAAGCAGTTTCCTGTCATGGAACTGACGGAGCTTGCCAGCAATGCGTTGGATGTTCTCCTCGGTCCGAATGTCCTGCCGAACTGGTTTGTCGGTTTGTCGCTTGCTATCCTCGCTTTGGACAGCATGAGTTTTCAAGCAGCAATGTTACACAAAGTACTGTCAGTCAAGCATAGCTGCCTGCAGTTGGGAATTCTGCTTACATGGCACTTCCCTGCAGGCAGCACCAAGCTGCTAATCATATGACGTTTCCGAAGTTGCTGATCTCCAAGAGATGCGGGAGGGGGAGAAATCCTGTTGGCCTACTCTTTTCACGTGCCGAGCTGGAGATGAATCAGCCTTTACCAATAGCATGGAAGTTCCAAGGCGAGGAAGGTTGCAGGCGGATCAATCGCCGGCAGAGCTCGTTCCTGACAAAGAGACCCTGATACACTTTGCCTTTTGGCCGCCGCTGGGTTACCAGGTTGGACTGACTTGCATCGGGAATTGGAAGCTGTATGAGTGCAGCAAGAGCCAGAACGGGTCCTGGTGGCTAAGTGGGCGGCCCCTCAACCATTGCTCTATCCGACCTTCCTCGAAGGTGTGCAGAACCTGCAAGGCATCTTGTAAAAACTGAGGCGTCCTGTACTCTTCACGCAGGTTCAATCACTACCCCTATTGTCTGGACCTGTGGTCCGAAGCCGCGCGATGCCACAAAGCGTGCTTTTTCTACCTGGCAACTCGCCAAGCTTCTAAGCATGATCCATCCATCAGCTCCCTGTGAGCCAGCACCACAGATTCCATTTCATGTTCCATGGTCTTTTCCATATGATGCTCTATTTTGTGTTCCAATATTACCCCATTATAATATAGCAGCTTCCGTTTTCTTTCCATTATCCCAAAATATGTCCCCAGTATATACCCGATTATGACATAGTAGCAGCTTATTTGGTCTTGCAAGCTATACGCCGGCTTACATAGGGGTTATTCAGGGCTAATGGAAAATCAAATGGAAACTACAGGGATTCTAGGGATTATAGGGTAATCTATTTAGATGGTGGTTTCCGAAAATTAGAGGTTAGTGGTGGAAGTGCGAGTTCGCTATCTCTCCCTGTGCTTTCAATGTATCTACCCTGCAAACAAACATAACAAACATCCCTGCGAAAACAGCTCTGCGCTTGCTTGGCACCTCCTGTTCTCGCTTGAATAAGCCATGGTCGTCGGAACCATAAATGCGCAGCAGGAGCTTCTCCTACAAATCTAGCGATGTCTTCAGCAGCTCTCCTCACCAGGTGTTGGAATCACCACGCTCCTCTTCATGAGTTACGCAATATACCTCAAGGCAAAGCTACTGCCGGGGCAAAGGACAATTTGAAGCATTTTACAGAAGCAGCCTTGATCGACACCTTCTGAGGCTTTGACTCTGTTGGAAACCGCCACAGCAATTTGCGAGAATTTGACTTTCGCTGGCCTGCGCTCGAACATTCGGACAGGAGCATCGGCACTTTCTCCAGACAATGACATCAAGCCTCCACAATGGCCGAATGCGAAGTACCTGAGGTCTTGCTCAAGCCACGTCCCGAGCAAGTTTTCTGACGAATCCATGGCTAGGAGTCTCTAAGGCCACGCCAAGGACAAATATGGCTAGTGTCCAGTGGGCAGTGCCAATGTGAGAGGAGAGGCCTTTTCATTGAACCTCCTGCGCTACTCTTATCCACATTCCTACCTGTGAAGCTGCGCTAGGAGTTGCTGTCTTGAAGGCAGCTTTGCCGTTCCAGCATTTGAAGCCCTGGCTTGCCTGCTCCAAGAACTTGTTGGCCGCCATCGGCATGCAGAATACGACAGCAGAGTGAATTAAATGTCAGTAGGCTGGCCAGCATATGCAACTAGCCAAACCTGCTCCACAACCCGACTGACCCCAACTCTCAAGCTGATGCCGCTTTCCAAAACCAAGAACCGGCTGCCAGGCATCAGGTGATTTGACTTTGGGGTCATGCCTTCCAATTCGATCCGAGAGCTGCCAGAAATCCATCACAAGCTTGAATCTGGTGCGCAGCGTTGCTCATCAGAATAAGGTTCCCATGTGTCTGGCCCAGCAAGCAAGCATTATTCTGGTAGTACGTGGGAGGATCATGATCAGACTTGGCCGAAGCTGCGCTGCAGAGACACAGCTTTACTGGGAGCGCGGCCGCTGCCCTTGCCGGCAAACTCCTGACACCCAAAAGAACCACAGCTGGAAACTCAGAGCAATGTGTGCTGGGTTCAACCTGATCAGCCCTGTCTGAAGACCCTGAAGAAGCTTGAGGCCTGGCAGCTCCAGTAATTTTTCTCCGAAGCGCCGCTTGGCTGCAGACACCGTCCGGCCCGACCCCCAAGAATTTTTTTAGGCAGTGTCAGGAGCTGAAGAGGGCTGTCGGCTGAAGAGAGCCTGGGACCTTCAGGCCAGTAGAAGATCTGCGACCAAGGGCAAGTGGTCTGAGCCTCAGCTCAAACTTCTTTCCCCTAAAAAAGAACTTTAGGGTTCCTTAAGGACCTTTAAGGGCCTTTTGAGGGTAGGCTTTCAGGCTTGACTCTCATCTTTTGGTCCATCCCACCTGTCGAGGTTCCCACGAACGCTGCTTTGGGCACACCTGGAAACCAAGAAGTCCCTTGCTTTAGGGGTCATTTTCAATCAAACTTCTTTGGGGACCGGAAGGCACCCCCATGTGCCTCCTCTATCTTAAGGCCCTAAACCCTAAATCAGATTCCAAAGACGTACTTCTCGAAAAAACTGCCGCGTGCAGGGATTTGTGCAAGCACAACGTGGCAAGAGCTATTGCGTCAAAGCCTGAAATCACAAGCGAGCTGGATGCGCCTACGTCGCTGAAGTCCTTCGAGGCATAGATGTAGTCGATCCGTGCAGGTGGCTCGCCCAACTTCGTCCAGATCAGCTCATCCCGAGATGCCCGGGATGCTCTGACATTCCTGAGCAGGCTGCAGGGCATAGTTCCCTGACTCAGTGAATGTTGTGAAGGCCCGCAAGATTGTTGTGCTGACAGTTGGGTAAATGGTGTGGATGAAAGCATCATGCATTAGGTTGAGCGCTGGACGTTCGGTTGAAACATAATGTCATCATCTGTTTAATGCTACCTCATCATAATTCAGGCGAGAAGGTCTGGGTTGTCGGACCAGGTGCAAATGGGAGGACTGAATCATGATCAAACCAGGTAAGGCAGAACAAGCCAAACCGACTATGGAGAAAGAGGGCAAGCTTGCCTGATCCCAGTATTCTGCCTCCTTGATCTTCTTTTTTTGTTGAACGTTGGATTTGCGCCAACCTTGAGCTGCTTCTGTGAAACCGCATCCTCTCATAGCTTCAGTTAGCTTTACTGGCTGCACTTTGTCACTGTCCTTATCTACTGAGGCTAACCTGGCGTTGGCTCAGGCGTAAACCGCATGTGCATTTGACCTCTCAAGTTGAAAGCCATATTAGATTGGAAAAAGTTTGTGCTATAGCCGCTGGCATTCGAACCAGCAAACCTAATACAAATCTCACTGATATCTCGGAGAGAAATCGGACGATAGTTTGCTTCGTCGTCAGATTTTTCTTGTAAACAGGAACTACTCTGAAACACGACGGACGTCGTTATAAGAGCACTCTGTGTTAAGCATGTTCTTGATGAGGCCATGCTTCAAGCTACAGTAGGGCTCGAGTGAAAACGAAAACCCCATGGCCACTCTTCCT